GCCTGTTACGCGAGACGTGGTCTGGCGTACATCTACCTTGTTATCTATCGTTGTGTACTTTTGAGTTCTCTATAGCGCATTTATAAAGATAAAGTTTTGTTTGGAAATTTTTGGAGTCCAGTTTGAGCTCATGATACTCATGTAGTCTTGCTGACTGCCACTCTTTTGTATGTTAAATATTTCATTAATCTTTTCGCATCAGTCGGGTTATCCTGTGATCTTAGCTAATTATGTTGAATGTAATTATCTTGGTTCAGGTCTGATCCTGTGATCTAGTTATTATTGGTCCTTGTTTTCTACTTAGTTCTCAATATTGCATTTACATAGATAAAGTGTTGGATGGAAATTTTTGGAGTTCAGTTCAAACTAATTAGCAATACTTACGTAGTCTTGGTGAATATTATGCTTTTGTATGTTGTAAAATACTCATCTTTTCTAATCGGTGAGGGGTTATCCTGTTATTTTTGCTATTTAATTCAAATGTAATTCTTTACTTTGGCCCTATCCTGTGATCTAGTTTTTAATTTGTATGAGTACTTTTATGTACTTTGCATACATTGCCAATTGAAGTACAGTCAAACCCTGTTGTAGCGTTTCTGGATATAGCGTTTACCCGCTTATTACGTCGCGATTTTCTAGAACCAAAATCCAATATTCCATGCAAACTAACTCGTTTATACCGTTTTTCCGCTTATAACGTCGCGATTTTGCTTCCCCGAGGTGCAACGCTATAACGGGGTTTGACTGTAATCTTAAATGGACTTGTAGAAAAATTCTTACTAGTCAGGGATTATCCTGTGGTCTAGTCTTTTGGAATGTGTATTCCAATGTTTTTCACAGACATTAGAAGACTTATTTTTTGTCCAATTAAGGTGATCTTAAATAAATCTTCTCCAAATTCTCATTAGTCAGTATCCTGTGATCTAGCACTTAACTTTTTTTTTTTGAACTGCTTCCATTGTAGAAACCCACATTTCTCCATTCGCTTATTTTGACTTTGCTAGGTCTTTGAGAAGTATTTAATTGTTCAATATACCACTTGGATGGAATAATTTTATTTTGATCTGCTACTTTTTGTCTTTATTCATATTTTAAAATAGTAATAAAAATTACATTACAGGCTTAAAACATGTGTACTTACTTTACACATTCCTCATATTTTCCAAAATGAAATATCCTAAAACAAAACAGGTCCTTTGAATTAAAAAAATTAAATTTTTTACAAGAAATCAACACTTGGACTTAGAGAGTTTCCTCCTTTTAATGGCTAGACTAGATGCAAGTTCCTTGTTGCTTTCATTTAGAGAACTAATTTCACGGTAAGCCTTATCAAGTTCTTCATTGAGGTTTTTCTCAAGAAGTTGTTTTTCTTCTTGAAAATTCTGAAAGTTAAGTTTGACTTTATCCAATTCTTCTTGTTTAGATGCTATATCTGTTTTCAAGTTTAAAATGTCTGAATCATACCTTCTCTTGGAAGAAAGTGATTCTTCTTGGTAATTCTTAAAGTTAACTTCAATACTATTTAACTCCTTCTGTTTTGATACTAGCTCCCTTTTCAAACTGTCCACCCTTGTTAAAATATCAGCATGATTTTTTTGATAAACAAGGTTTTCTTCTTTAAGTTTTTCTAAATTTTTCTTCACGATAATCAGTTCCTGATCTAATGATTGTTCGCTTGGATCTGAAGAAGCATGACTATCCGTTGATGATGTAAGGCCACCTGTATTCATCTGAAAAAAAAGTAAATGGTTGATGCAAGTTGCAAGATTTGTTTTCCAAGTGGCTAGCTCCATAGCACACTGGTGCAACTATTTAAAATATATTATAATACAAACCTTAATTGCCACCTTCAAATGTTCTAGCTCTCCTTTAATTTTAAGAATATCTTCACGTATTTTTTCTTGCTCCTTCAGAACAGAAATAGAATGCAAACGTTTAGTAATGTCACCATTATTTAAGTGCAGGATACTCTATAAAAGGTACGAACCTCAATCACACTCTTGGCGGAATCTCGATACAGGTTGCACCACATACAATACCAGAATTCAATGGCTAGCATGAAAGAATAATACAGAACAAAGTAAGATCTTCGAATATCAAAGGGGCACATTCTTTATATTATTGTGATCTTATTGGTTTCTTACCTTCGCTAGATTTCTTGCTCATCTTTACACACCGGCCGTGGAACCAAATGCGACAGCCATCGCACATAATCATGAATCTAAATGCAGAAAAGGTCGATAACGAAATTGTTTGATTGGGGCCGATGGACGAATATTTGTTACAAATGATTGGGACACGACACAAGCAAAAATCGTGTCAACATAAGTCAAAAAATCATTCAAGAAATCTCCAAACATACCCAATGGCAACCAGCAAAAATAATTTCAATGGTAAACGTACCCTTTCGCTTCCAAACGACAAAAACAGAACCGTTCTTGCTTCGACATCCTGATGAAAATACAAAAATCAAACAACTAAGATCGCCTCGACTTCAGCCCCCATCCAACCAAAATCACACCGTACCGCGGCCATCTCTCCCGCCCCCTCTCCGGGCTCCGCAACGGCAACGTCGCTCGATCCTGATGTCGCCCGGGTGCTCTACCGTCAATCAGGGTGCTCGGCGTGCTCGCAGCGGGGGAGAGGAAAAGGCACCTTTGACTGGGACGACAGACTAGGGAAAGGACCAAAGTAACACATCCCACCCGCCCCCCATCATTCTATGAAGCTCCCGGGGCTTTCCCGGGTTGATCCGTGGGATGTCATGCCATGAAGTAATTCTTCATGGTCATGCTACGCTTCAACTTCAACCGCATCCAATCAAATCCAGTAAACTTAGAACTTTGCACTCGAAAATATGTGTAAATACATCAGCCGTATCCTCCACCAAGCTGCAAACCTATAGCGCCATCTCTCGGTGACTTGGAGACCACAACCACCACCACCACCCCAACCGCCAGCAGGCCTTCCCCTCCCCTCTCCTCCCTCCCCACACTTCGCATCTGCGGTCCGCCATTCACCTACATGAGTTAAAAAGAAATCTACAGACGACGTTTTCACAATGAGTGACAGCTTCTCAAGAACAGAAATATTGGCGGCCACTGTAAAACTATCAGTGCTTGCAGCATGCACATATGTTACCCTTAAATTTATTCTTGGACAGCTGGATCCTGATTCCGAAGCAGAATCCGCATACAAGAGTGCATACAAAAAGGTAACATAACCTCTCTGTCTAGGCAAAATGCTTCACTCTTTCGTCTGCTGTCAATTTCTTTTACTAAATCGATAACTGTTTAATTTCAGGCCAAAGCAATATTAAATCGGTTGGGATTATCGAACGATAAGAATCTCAAATCGGTTGGTATAATGTTATATGTAACTCAATTTCATCATACTGGACCACTTATGACAAACAGTATTTAAAAAAATATATTTGTTCTCCATAGCTCAGCCAACATGAAATGATGATTGCAAAGGGTCTTATCGACCCTCAAGATATTACCACTACATGGGATCAAATTGCTGGATTAGATAATGTTCTCCAGGAATTACGTGAAACAGTCATCCTGCCAATTCAGAAAAAAGAACTTTTTGCTGACTCGCATCTCACTCGAGCTCCAAAGGGTAAATCACATGAAGTTCTTGCCACACTTATTTTACTTGTTCACAGCAAATAAGTGTATCAGAAAGAAACCCTGGCAAAACTCAATGCTAAAATTTTGTTGCAGGCGTATTGCTGTTTGGTCCACCTGGCTGTGGAAAGACAATGATAGCGAAGGCAATTGCACGAGAAGCAGGTTGCAATTTCATTAATTTGGATATGTCATGTGTGACAGACAAATGGTATGGGGAAAGTCAGAAGTTAGCTTGCGCTGTTTTTACTTTGGCTGTGAAACTTCAGCCTTGTATTGTATTTATTGACGAAATAGGTGAGTGTTGAGTGTAGGCTTTTTTTGTGCCCATGATTTTGCAAGGGGTTGTGACCTCTTTGTGGTCATGCCACACTTTCTATGTTATGTTCAGGTTTCAGATATTTAAGTTTGCAACTTATCAGGACTATTGAAATCTATTCCCTTCTTTACCCATCTGATTGGGATTTTTAATTTCCAGATTCTTTCCTGCGCAATCGATCATCCTTTGATCATGAAGCCACAGCTATGGTTAAAGCTCAATTCATGTCTCTTTGGGATGGGCTCACTACTGACCCCTCATGCACTGTAATTGTCATGGGTACAACCAACAGACCACAGGATTTGGATCGGGCTATTTTACGACGAATGCCAGCTTCATTCCATATTGACATGCCGGTATGGCCTTCATCCAGACAACTATCCCAATATCTGTTAGATCTTATAATTAGAACTCATGGCATAATTATATTTTTACAGAATGCAGTTCAAAGACAACAAATTCTTGAGACCATCTTAAAGACTGAACCAGTTGCTAATGATGTTAACTTACGGAGGCTGGCTGAGATAAGTGATGGATTTTCTGGATCTGATCTTAGGGAATTGTGCAGATCAGCCTCTGTCTACAGGCTAAAAGACTTTATGAACACAAATCAGAAGGAAAAACTGTAAGGACAATTTTAGAAGTCTTATATACCCCCTCTTTTTGTGGCTATAAGTTTATATTAGTTTTATTCCTCCTCTTATGTTTTTTTTGTAAATTTTCAGAAACACTTCCAATGAATCTGAAGATGAATTTCATGACGCATTACGACCTATTACAATGGAAGACCTAACAACAGCTTATTTGAAACTTCGAAACTCTAAAGACTTCTGTGGGGCTGATTACTCACGCCAGGAAGCAAGTTGGAGTAGGGTGTGATTTCAGAGCCTTATCCTTATCATTGTGGAGCATAGTAATTAACAATTCACTGGTAGGATGCTCTGAATAAGTAAGATCTTTTCACATGGGATTGCTCTCAAAGCAGTCTGACCAGCTTTGGTGTCATAATTTTAAGTCACAAACAGATTGCCTTGTGTTGGCAAGAAATGTGCAATAGTTTTGGTATTATTACCACCTAAACTCTTTTCCTTACGACTATTTTCTAAAATCAACTAAGTTACAATCACACAAATTTCTTGTTCTCCTTAGCACCGTTTGCACTTAAGTTGTACATTTGGAGCAGACAAACAGATACCATGTTTTATTTTGTTTTTCAAATGCACAAATTAATTTTGAAGACCAACGGAATTAGGGAGTTTTTTTCTCTGTGTTTGATATCAGAGCTGTGGTATCAGTGGTATCCATATGTACCAGTTTTAATTGCCATATAAATTGACAAGAGGACAGTAGGTAGCTTCTTGAAAATAAAAATATTTTTTGCTCATAGACTTTGTTTTTAAATTTGAAGCAAGAAGAAATGTCATCAGATTTGTTGGTGCCAGAATCTTAAATAGGCCTTATTTTTTTTAGTTGTAAATAATTTTTTTCAGACAAACTATTGTATTAAAGAAAAAATAGAAGAGTAAGCCGAATGTTCTGGTGCCTCAACAAGTGTTGTTGTGACATCTGTGATAGATTTTAATGCGTGCTGTACCTTCATAAATTTTGGGGGTTGATGTTTAGAAAAGCCAAAGTGATTAGGTGAACAAGATTAGTGTTGCATTTGACTAAGATAGTAAAACACTGTAAATATGTATGCATTTGCAATACTTAAGTGAATGGACAGTATCCAACTGCTATAGCTAAGTTAAGTTAATCAGTCATCTCTGAGTTGAAGCTTTCATGCAAAGGCTAGTGTTGTTGTTGTAGTTGTATCAAGTCATTACTCTTTTTCTATAATATGCCAGAGAAACTTTGTCATCAGTTTCTGTATAATATACATAGCATTGTTGTATAGAAATTGTTAAATGCTCTTTTCATTATATATTTCTGTAAATACATAACTGTAGATTATTTGACTGTTTTCTTATGATAGAACATATTCCCTTCTCTTTTAAATTGAACACAAAATATTGAATTATGTTTTCTAGAGATCAACTGTTTTTACTGCCTAACAAAATCAGATCTTATTGTAATTGTTCCTATAATTTATTTTTTTGACACAAGTGAATTTCTAGCAATGCAAGATGAAAATTAAAATAATATAATACTTTTATCACAGAAGTTAAGTTTCCACAATACCTAGTATAACTGATTTTTGATCAAAATATGATTTATCTTAATGAACTAAGGGTCAACTGACATCACTCGAAGATGCAACACAACCAGGTGATAGCAACTCTTCAAGACATGATGCTACCATCATCTGAAAGTAAATTGGAACAAGGAATGGAGTTAAACACTCAGTAGAGCAGAAGTTTTCAGAAAGTCAGATTTTGAGCATACCGAATGACCTGGGCCAACAGGTACAACTTCTAATGTGGAACCTCGCTTTACAATGAATCCAAGTAACATATCCCCATCCATCAACCCCTGTCCTGCAAAGCAAATGTGGAAAATGAAAATGCATAGATCTATCGTGACTGTCACAATAAGGATCACCACACCAACCTGTATTTTGTTGTAATCGCTGCATTAGCTGATCTTCTGGAAGAGGATTATCCTCTTGATGGTTGACCAGCTCAGCCGGAACATTAAAATCACATTGAGGTATTGGGGATGCTTTAATTTCCAGCCGTTTTACGGGCTTTGGAAGTTGCTCTCTAATTTCTATATTTGATTCATTTTCAAGGAAAGATGGTACTCTAATCTCTAAAGAGTCAGAAGGCCTCAGTATTCCTGCAGATACAACTGATGTCAGGAGTTTATCAGGCTGATTTGAAGTGCATGCGTTAGATGCTGGAAAGTTGAGTGTTGATGGAATAATGATTTTATCTGAAGCCAATTTAGGTGGCCACTCTTTCATGATTTCATCTGAAAGGGGAACTGTCCCAGAAGGGAATTTTGATGGAATTACACAGGGCAAAAGACTAGCATTATAGGAAGTTTTGCTATAGTCTGATTCTACAAAATGCTCTGAGCACACATAACGCATCTTTAGTGAATGCATTGGTAGGTAAATTAAATCCTCATATCCAACTACTTGCAGCCACTGACGACACCTGAAACAGTTATTAATTATATGTTTTACATTATTTGCATTACAATGAAAGTGAAATAAATTCTCCGCAGATTTTTTCAGAAGTAGGTAGGACAGTATTTTAACCATATGACAAATTGTCATAGCACAAAAATTAAATAAAAGAATATTCAGAAGTAATGTAACAAATATTGGACTTCACATTATTCTTAAAATAAGCCATGTGGCAAACTAGGTACTTTGGTTTGTTCTTATGAATGAACTAATGAATGAATGAGGTTACATTTTTTCATTGGTAGTTTACCGTTCTGGGTGTTTCACGGGAAAGGCGTGATAATGTGCAGTAGATGACCTGGTACGCTTTCTGGAATTAGAGCAATGAGGTACCCAGCATCTGAAATTACTTTTCCGCATTATTATTTTTAATTTTTAAATAGAAAAGAGTTGTTTCTTGACGGCGATGTGACCAATGTGCAATGCCGATGATGTAAACAAACAACAATAACAAAGTAACAAAAGTTTTCAGCTCGAGATGCAACCGGAAGTGAGACTTCATTGAAAAGTTCTCATACTGTTACTATGATCTTGTGAATGTGAATATTGCTTTGGTTGATGATGATGACCCGGACCCCCCCCCCCCCTCTAGCGCTGTCGCTGTGAATCACAAGTTGACAAAACATCCGCTACTTTGCCGAATTGTTTGGATGTTATCAAGAGACACAATGCCGTATTTGTGCTGAAATGAGTGTGTTTGGAGATTTTAGGCGCGTTTGGGTGAAACGTTTTCCGAACAGTGACCTGCCAGCAGCTTGGGAAGAGGATGTGAGGGCCAACCTAGCCAAACACAAACAAAAGGTCGCTGTCCTGCGGGAGGAGTTAGAGAAAGAAGAATTTTATGTAGAATATTTAGAAAGGCTTCTCCAAGATGTAGCCGCAAGCAAGAAAGAAAATGGGTCAGAACCGACACCCTCTAAAGTGCCAGATGGTGACAAGAGTGGTATCCCCAATAACCAGGTGGGGTTAGGATCGTCTGGTGGGGATGATGACAATTCTGATGAGTTTGACTCAAGAATCATCAAGTCTGGCAGTAAAGACTCTATCGATCAATGCATCACAGAATTGTCTCGGGGTTTGTCTGAAAACGACATCTCCTCCTCATCTCAGGTTGTTCAAACAGCCAATTGCCATGAGCCACATGAAGCTCTGGAACAAGAGGTGGCCCCCATTCAAGAAGAAACTAGCTCTGGTATTACTCCAGATCCGTCCAACTATATAACTGTTATTGAAGTGAACAGTGTTGATGCCAAAGGAGTGAAAGAAAAAAGTATCGCCAGTAAGGAAGCTCCACTTCCAAGAACTGCTGCACCTGTCAGGAAGGTTCGGGCATTATTTTTCCATACTTCTAGAGCTCAGTATTTTTGAGCTTGTATATGTCAGTCTTTTAATCTTTGCTTCTATTTCTTTCTATTTCAGGCCCCACCCATCCCTCCTCCTAAACGGTTCACCAAAGGGAAAGATGGAAATGTGGAAATTACCCCAATTAGTTTGGCTGAGGCCAAGAAGCGTAGAGAGGAGGAAGATGCTGCTGTCGCAGCTTTGAATGAGGCAGTTGAAGCTGCTGAGGCTACTCAAAAGAGGAATGAAGAGGGTACTGACAAAGATCCAGATTATAAAGATCCAATAGATATGCTTGAAGATGAAGAGGAAGAGGAGCCTTACTATGATTCAGTACCCTTAGATGACACCGGAGGTGAGTTAGACGCCTCCAGGGAAGTCCCAATTTATAAACTTTGAATTTTATCTTATCTTTCCCTTTCCTTTTTCTTTTTTGGAAATCAGGTCTTGTGTCTGATGTTGATGATGCTGAGTTCACTGAAGATAGTGAAGATGCTAGGAGTGCGACTCTTCCAAGTCATGCTTGGCTACAAAATAAGGGAGCTTCACCATCACCTGTGTTTACATGCGAACCCGAAAGCCCTGGAAAAAACTCAAACTATGTCAATATTGATTACTTTATTATGTGAGTCATCATATTTTTTTCTTAATATTTAAAATATTATTTGTAAATGTAACACTGTCATTATTTTAGTTGATATTTGGAATTAAGTAGGTTGAACTATCTTTTTTATTACTCATGTGATCAGGCAAAGAACTGGAGGAGCAACTCGTAGCAGCTCTGTTGAATCAGAAGATGACAGTGAAGTACCACCTTTAATGCGAACTATATCAATGGACACAGAGCCTAATGATGATTTACTAAGCACTGGGAGCTTTTCTGAGGCTAATTATGCCACAACAGGAAGCTCATCTTCTTTAGAATCATCTTTGACCTCGGTATGTTTTTATTTTATAATTACCTAGTTTAGTGTTTCAGAAAGAAGTGCCTCATTGAAGTTTTCCTTGTTTTCCTGTAGACCACTGGTGACAAAGCTGAGGCAGAGCGTATGACAATGTATCGCTGCATAATATCAAGCATAATGGAAAGTGAAACTTTATATGTTGAGTGTCTAGCCGTTCTTGTTCAGTATATGAAAGCAATGAAAGCAACTTTAGGAACATCTCAACCAGTCATTTCTGAACAGGATCTAAATACTGTATTTTATAAAATTCCTGATCTTCATCGTTTGCATCAAGCATTCTTGGAAGGGCTACAGAAACGTTCTCTCAATTGGGATGGACGTCTTACCATTGGTGACCACTTCAAAATAATGGTCAGCACTTGTTGTTCTTTTATATTGTATGTGTGTAATGTATATTCTAATTGCAGTTTTCACTTCACAGGCAAGCAATATTAATGTGTATGGAGCTTTCCTACATAATTATTCTCGGGCTGTGGACACCGTTAGCCGGTGTTCATCAAATAGCACTCAGTTTAGTCAACTAACCAGGGATATACCTCTTCCATCCCAGTCTGGTCAGAGTGTCTCCCTTGAAGATCTACTACATAAACCTGTGGCTAGAGTCCAGAAAAATGCTCTTGTTTTACATGTAAGTAATTAGTACAGTAATTTATCTTCATCTCTACCTTAACCAGAATTAAATTTCTCACGTGATGTACTAAACCCTAAATATTCATATGCTCAGGATCTTCTGAAGTATACCCCAACCTCACACCCAGATCACAAGACTTTATCTGAGGCATTAGAAATGACTCAAAGCTTCCTGGATGAATTCAACATGATTAGAACAAAGGCTATGTTTCCGGCTGCTGATCGGGCTCAAAGAAGACTTGTTCGAAATTCATTTATTGTAGAACTTGCTGATGGGCATAGGAAGTTAAGACATCTCTTTCTATTCAATGATGTTATTGCTTGTGCTAAATACAAGGTAACTTTTCCCCTCTTCTTTGATGCAATTTTAAATGTATTCTATTATTTTATTTTATTAAAACTGCATTACAAATGTGTTTTCAATTTTCCAAAATAACAGGCATCTGGAAGAGAGAAATTTACCTTTGAATTGAAATGGTACATACCATTGTCTGACATTGTGATATTTGAAGAACCAGGGGTGGAACCAAGAGAAAGCTCTCCCCCTAACATTGTTGCTTTGAAGAGTGCTGCATCTACTGTGCGTGACCAATTGCTTTGGGAGACAAGAGCCTCTGGTATTGGTGCAGAAAGACAACGAAGATCATCCCGATCTGAAAAGCATCGCAAAAAGCTGGCTGATTTAGAGGCGCAGTTGGTTTTGGCATCTCCAAACCTCGTCTTTCGAGTAGGTAACCGTACGTCAAGAGTTTACACATTCTTCCTTTCATCTGAATTTGAAAGGACTCAGTGGATTGAAGCAGTACATGCTTTACAGGTAATCTAAAAGCAATCCTTTGAAAATACAACTGTTCAGTTACAAAAATTGTGTTTGACATAATTAATTGTATATTACAGAGTTCTCAATTGCCTGGACCAGCTGTGACTGTATCAATGCTTGAACTTCAAGCTTGGATTACAGCCTGCCGTACTTATCTTAAGACAAATATGGGCTCATACCTCTTACGCTCTGGCAAAGATGAAAGTTTATTGGTGGGTGACCTCCATTTAACATTAAAGGAACTCACAGGACTTGATCAAGCAGCTGGTATGTTCCTTTTAAAATGACAAAGTAGTGCTTCTTCTAGATGATTATTTTAATTATTAGGAACCATTATAGTTGGCCACCCTATTTGCATGATAAAACTACTTCTCAAAATTCAAACAAATTTTTTTTGAATTACAGATCTTTACATTTGTATTGAGTTAGATTCATATGGTCACTATTTCCGCAAGGCAAAGACGAAATTAGTCTGCAACACCTCTTCTCCTCGTTGGGATGAGTCATTTGTGATTGAACTTGAAGGTGCCCAAAATCTAAGGATTTTGTTGTATGAAGAAGCTGCTGAAAGACCAGTGCTCCGTGCTAAATGCACTCATAAAGTATGTTAGAGTAATTTTCTAGATATTTTAGGATTTCACATTTTAGGTCAGTTTTAATTTACTGCTTCAATTTTTACAGCTGAGCCGGTCGTGGTTGTCAGAACAGAAACTTGTTGAACAAACAGTTGAGTTAAACAACTTATATCTCTCACTCTCATTGCGATTTGTCCCAAGTGAGGTTACCTTACGAAGGGTTCCTACTGCCAAAGCAGGAGCCTTGTTTGGAGCAAAAATACATCTAGTGTGCAAGTAAGGAATAAGTGTCTTTCTATTTTATTCTTTGCCTCTTCCCTCTTTTTTTGCTGTCAAGTTAACTCTTGATTTATTGTTTCTAGGAGACAGAAACGCCCTGTCCCATTCATCATCACAAGTTGCATACGTGAGGTTGAGCGACGAGGAATGAATGAAGTAGGAGTTTATAGAGTGTCAGGCTCTGCATCAGATCTATCACGTCTCAAAAAATCTTTTGAAACTAGTAAGAACTACCAAGAAGCCTTTTTAATGAAATAGTTGTATCTAATCTCTTACAATCATTAAACATTTATCTCCTCTATTTCCAGACTCATATGAAGCTGAACAGTTATTGAAGGATGTTGATATTCATTCAGCTACAGGAGTTCTTAAACTGTACTTGAGGGAGTTGCCAGAAGCCCTCTTTACTGATGAACTTTATCCCAAATTTTTTCAAGCATTCAATGGTAGTCGAGAGGGTGATGTTCGCAATCAAGCCTTGGAACAGTGCTTCACTCTACTTCCTCCACTTAATCAAGGCATCATTAATTATATAATCAGTCACCTCATTCGGTAATTACCAAACAGAAACATACCACCGCAAATACTTAAACTTCATGTGGCTATTTCAAGTTTTGCATTACTGTTGGTACTTACTGTGATATTTTGTCACTAATTTTGATCTTACCTGCAGTGTAAACCAACATGAGGCTCAGAACAAGATGTCACTGCACAACCTGGCTACTGTATTTGGACCAACTCTCCTGCGACCTGGAACCAAATCTGACAACAATAAATCAAGGGACCCGCTTGCTGCTGGAACCGTGGATGTAATGGCACAGGCTGGTATACTATATCATTTTCTACAACAAGCTTTGAAGTAAAAGCAGCTAAATAGGCAACCTATTTTTTGTGGGGTTCTGGGTTATTTACCTTAATTGATCAATTTCAACAACGAAAATTGTGATTAACCCTTTGTCAATTTGGTAATTGGTTAAGTAGAGTATACTTATTATTTGCTCACTTCTGAATGCAGGATCATCAAAAAGTTTACCCAATGTTCCTCTCAAATATGAATATCAGTATTCCTGTAAGACATGTGTTATACATTCGTGTGTTTGGAGCGTTTCCAAAGACTGCTAATTTGCAGAGTTTTACAGTAAAGACCTCTTTTCTTTACTTGTTGATATGTACTTTTGAACACACTAAAAGAATGTGATAAATTTAATTTCAAGGTCCAACTTATTTATATCATTGTACTGGATTACGTAATTCTCTACAGCAAATTTGAATTCAGAGGCATGATCATTTTGCTTGATTTCATGTCTAATTGGACCGACTCTGTAGACATTGTCATTTTTATATACTTCAGATTTCTTTTCTCCACAGATGATCCTTATCATTTTTGTTGTTGTTGTTGCTGTTGTCATCTTTTGATGGCACACACATCAATACATACTTACGTGTGTACCAATTATTCCCCGTTGTACATTAAGAATTAATGTTTATAAGAGATAGGCCCCATGGCTTGATTTAAAGATTTATTAGTTTTCTAAGAAACAGGGAAGGGTGGGGTGGGTTGGAAACCTATAGCAGGTATAGGACTCTTTGGTGGGTGAAGTGAAGTGGGTGACCAATTTAGTTACCGAGCAGTAGTCCAGTTCCTTCCATGCTGGACTTGGTGGGCTGTGGACAGTATGCATCATGTCGCCAAGGAATTTTAGTCCCCCTTGTTTACAACCTTTTATTGTATTCTACATCACACTTTCACAAATCCCCTCTTATATAAGACTTTCTTGTGTTCCTCTTTTTATATTGTATTTTTACACTTCTATTTCTGGCAACTATATTTGAGAATGCATAGCAAGGTTTTTTGTCTGTTACTTTTGTATCCAATCTATTGACTGATCTTTAACACATCACTTTCATCTGTTATGTTCAACTCTTACAAAGTTGGACCCATAGATTCCTTTCCGTTATTTATGTTATTAATTTGTAGTCCATTGTTCCATACCCCATCTTGAGAACATTATTGTTACTCTAGTTTTAAATCATCTCTGTGTCAATTTAGATCATCTAAATATAATATAGAATCTTTTGAATGCTCAAAAGTGTCCTGCGCTGAAAACAAATCCGTAAAATTAAGTACATCTGCATCTGAAATTATACTTCATTTTTACTAATATTTATTTCCCCTATTTAAATCATTGATTCTTGAAAATGTATGTTAACACTTGAAAGAAGATTCCATTTTTATTTGTTGTTACCTGGTATTGGTCTCAAATAGTATTATTCATTATAGAATCCATTATGTAGCTTTCGTCTGTCTTGGAGTCCTTTTTAAGCCCTTTTCAATGGAAGTGCTTTAAGCATTCCAATTCAGAGTCATATGACTGGCATATTTATTTTGCAGGACTTATTTCAGTTTATTAAGAAGTGTGCCAAAGTTGAGTTTTTAATTACATGCCTCCATTTTTAAATAATAAAATCCATAGTTGATAAGTTCAACTCACGGAAATTTATGAACATTTTATTGTTGATGTAGAGTGTTCATCAACAATTTTCATGAACATCATTTTTCAGGTGAATGCTACACGCACATTTGCTTTCACCTAGTGTTTATCTTGACAAGACTTATTGTTACCAAGTAAAAATGACTGTGGTGACGCATCAATGCAAAGAATTGTTTTTGGTTTTTTTACAAAGGCAAGATTCTCTCCATTTGAAATAATTAAATTGTGAATGGACCATATTTTATTAATATCATCATCAAATTGCTCAAGTGTGTCCTGCAGAATTGGTTTTACATGGGGTAACTTTCCTGACCATTAGTGGATTATTATTGTTAATCTATCATTTATATGTAACATAAGTGTTTCATCTTTTAAAAAAATTTATTTTGCTTTCTTTTGTATGTGTGAATTCTTCCTTTGACGGAGTTAAACATCTAAGGGCATTGGTCGTGTTGAAACTCGACTAGTCAGTTCTTGCAGTGTTATGAAGGAGGTTGAGCATTACTATTGGTGCATATTAGTTATACCAGTCAATATTATCATCTAGTCATAGAGAGCAGCTTAAAGCAAAATGTTATCTACAAATATTTGTTGTAGTGATATCAATTTGAGAAGGAATTTTAGAGTTAGCAGAAATATGCTTCTGAATAACATCTAAAAAAAGTTTATCACTGTACTTGCCAGAGGCTCTTTGCTATTCAATATTCATACTGTTTGTACAGGTACATATTTGTTATTATCTTTCCTATTTTGCATTATTTTCATTCATGTTTTGCCTTATATTTATAAAACTTTACTGTGCTTGACAGTTTTATTTTCAAACTTCATACATTATGCAGAAATGTAGTTTAGGCGATATAGAATAATAAAACTAGTACGTGCAGTTCATATGGTTTTGTTTGTCAGTTTATTTTTATCACAGACTATGATGACTCAGTAAGTCTATCCTTGCTCTCTTCTGGGTCCAGAATTATTTTCACAGTACATTTGCGGCGCCACCAAGAATACCAGCGCATAGCATGATAGTGTACTCGCATAGCAAGCCACGCGGAGTACACTAGATCAATCGCAGCCATCAGTGACACCTTAGTAACATGGAAGCACTAGTCAATTTCTGGTCAGGAACCAAAAAGAGCCCGCGTTATGGCAGGCTTACCTGAAAGTAGGCACTGTCATCTGCACTCAGACCCAAGTGAGTGCCTAGTAGCGCTACCGGAGTAAAGATCAAGAACGCCACGAAGTCGAAGAGGAGGTCTGAGTTTCCGTTGCTGATCAACCAAGCGGGAATGGATGCAAGCACGTTGTAGCTAAGGGTGACAGGAGCAAAACATGGGTATGGGTATGATGTTGTGTGAAGCGCAGGGGTTCGGAGTCCGGGGTCTGACCGACCTGGGCGTGCGGACGGTGGTGTACAGGTGGCCGCACAGCTCGCAAGACGTAGAGTCGCTCTCGGCCAGCCAGCGCTCCAGGCAGCCAACGTGCACCCTGGCCACGGAGCCCCGGCATCGGCAAGGCGCCACGAGGACGCTGCCGCCGAGGCTGCCGCCGCCACCCTGGCCGTCCGTGTCCCGGCAGATGCGGCAGAACAGCGGGCCGCTGTCCTTGTCCGCCAGGGGCGGCGCCTGGTCCGCGCCGACCTGAGGCGACACCCTCTGGAAGTGTAGTGGGCTCACGCGGCAGCACTGGGAGGTATAACGGCAGAAGGGCCACCCCCAGGGGACGACCTGGAGGCAGGCCAGTGTCAGCTCACGATGTCGGCTCGGAAGCGCTCGATGGCGGTAATGCGTTCCCGGATCTGGCTCTGGCCGTCGGGGTCCCTCGGGTCCACGGCCACGACGAGCTGCGCGAAGGGCTCGAGGCGCTTGACGAGGCCCTTGTAGTACTCGGGCGGGCGGGCCGGGGCCGGGGCGTTTTCCGCCCGTTCCGGGGACGTGACGTCGGGCGTATTGCTTCCTGGGGTGTCGTCCTGCGATTTCTTTCCGGACGATGACCCCTCTGTGGACGCCTCCTCTAACGTGGACTTTGCTGACACCAACGTGTCCAAGTCGTCGCCGAGGTCATCATCGTCCACGTCGAGAACCAGTAGATCGAGGACATCGTCCGCGGCAGGCAGCGCTTCGCGGACGATGTCGTGTCCGTCCTCATCCACCTCGTCCTGTCCGGAGTCGAGGCGGTTCGCAGAGGTGCTGTGGTGAGTGGTTGGGCATAGTAGCGAGGCAAATAGTGAGACTTTCAAGGTAAACGAACAGAATCGAACACTTTGTGCTTGTACCTCGAACTGCTCGGGTGAGGGCTCGCGCCGACGAGGGTGAGAACTCTGGGCGACTCATCAGTGTTTCTCCTTCCAGCCTCGGGGCGGCCACTTTCTCGGCCTTCGGATAGACTTGGAGGTCGATAGGGCCGAGGGTCAAGGCCGTCCTGGCCTCGGACAATGTCGTCCTCCATGGCCTTTGACCGCGCCGCCGCGCCGCTCTGGCCTCACGGTAATTTATCCTACACAACACACAGCCGGTCCGGCGGGACGCTCACGCACGTGCCTCGGACCCTCCGGACTCTCCGGACCAGCGGGGCTGGCCGGCCATGAATCTCTCCCGTTTTACCTGAATCATCACCATGTGCCCCGCGGGCCGGGAGGCGGCGCCCCTCCTGCCCCTGCGGTGGCCCCGGGGGGTCGCATCGCCTTTACCCCCCACCGAGCGCTTACCGTGGGGGCGGGGCGTGGCGGGGTGTGGTGGGGCGTAGCGCGGTGTGCACTCGACAATGAGAGCCAGCTCTCCATTATTACTAGGCGGGGCCGGCCGGCCCTGGTCCCCTGGTCGGTCTGCCCGTCTGCCCTCCGGGGGTCCCCGGGCCGGGCAGCGGCTCCCCGAAAACTTGGAGCTTTGCTGCTTTTCTGCTTCAAGCGGCAGCGACCGCAGAAAACTGCCCCGATTCTGGTAGGCGATTTAACACGGCTGGCTCTGGCCGCGCCCACTGCCCTAGAGCAGCGAGCAGCTCAGTACCAGCAGGGGGTAGGCAGCCAGCGCGGGTCGAGGGCACGGGTGGCCACCGGACTGCCTACCCGTCGGGGGCGCACCGGTCCGTGCCGTCCCGTCCGTTCTCGCCGTCAAACAATAACGCACGTTCACACGCGCGGCCGAGGCGAGGCTTGCAGGAGTGTGCAGCACCGCCGCCGCCGCCGTCCACGCCTCACGCCACGCCACGCTGCGCAACTCTGTACTCCCACGATTTGACAAAGCAGCCGGCGACCCGTTCTGTTCCGTCCAGCTCGGAGTGGTTCAAGGACTGGGGCACCGCCGGACAAACGCACGGCATTACCAAGCACACTCACACACACGCCGGCAAGCACGCACGAGCACACACACAAACGCGCAAGGACTCGGCGCCGACTCCCCGTGTGGGAAGAGCAGACCTCAAAATATGTTTTCTTGTTCATCCGTGTATAATGCGGCGCCTTCTCACACCGAATACCCCCGCCTCGTGTTGGGCTCTCAGCAACTGGATACGCTGTACGCAGGCTGTGTCCTTTTATATCGGTGTCTCCAGTCCCGTAGCACCCGTCCGAGGGGGTTAGCCGATAGGTAGCCGCCAGTGTGTGTGCGCGCGCGCACTAGTGCTGCGGTACCAGACCGCGCCGCGCCACACCACACTAGGCTAGGCTGTCGCTTCGGCTGGGTCGGCCCGGTTTAGGTTCGGTTCGGCTCGGTTCTGCTCCGATCGGGACCGAAGCCGTACTTCGGTCGCAGTCAGTCGAGGCGGGGAAAGCTCTGTCCGTGTCCGTCGCGTACCCAGCTGGGCACCCCGGTGGTAACGCTACGCCACGCGTACCCTACCTGCCCTGCCCGAGACCCCGGCGGAAGCGGCCTAGCAGGCGTGAGCCCCAGCTCCGGTGGGAGGCGGGAGGCGGGGTGCACAGCGCGGCGCGCGGGGCGCGGGGTGCGAGGCGCGGGATGGTCCTGGAGGGGGGCCGCGCGGCGCTCGGTCCGGCCGCAGCACAGCAGCAGTCCGCCGTGAGCCAGCCGTGAGACCGGCCGCGCAGCGCCGCTACATAGCCGGTCAGAGGTTCCCCCCGCGAGTCCCGCGCCCGCAGCACGCCGTCGAGGGGGAGCGCATAGCGCAGCGCATCCCCGGGCGAGCAGGGCAGTGTAGTGTTGTTGTGAAGTGGTGCGCAGTGCAGTTTCATTCACGTGGATTACCCGTCACAGACTTCGCCCCGCAGGCGGCCGCCCTGACGGCCAGCCTCCCCACCCCGTCATCGCCGCCCTGTCGGCGAGGTAAGACCGCAAGAATGACGCAGAAACGACGTTTTAACCCGCGTCGCTCCGAAAAATTGATAACTTCGAAACGGCGTTCTCATGACGTACAAAGTGTTTGCCGTATTTAATACTTTTGGTTGCTGACAAGGAGAAGTAGACGCGACTTTTTGTGAATGGAGTTGCCAGGGAAGCGCTTGCGCAGCTGATAACTCCGTTTGACGGAAGTGTGGGCCTGCTTGTTGATCTTTAGTTCGTTTTCCAGGAGAAAATAATCGATTTTGTCTATTGTGAAACTCATATAAGGAGCAATGAAACGCAGAGTTCTTTCCAGGCTTACTTCTGTAAAAACAAAGATTTTTTTCAAAACTGGCGCATTTTTACGTGTGTACTTTTTATTAATTTAAAAGGGACGCCCGCCGAGAAAATGTATCCCCTGGCCCTGGCCCACCGCTGCTGTGTGCTCAGCTTGCTTGTAGAGCATCCCCCCGGCTGCGCCCTGGCTGCGCCCTGGCTGCGCCCTGGCTGCGCCCTGGCTGCGCCGCGCTGACCGCCTTGACATTTCACCCCGCGGGCGCCCGCCGTCCCGCCGTGTGCAGTGCGGGACCGACGGAGCTGGCAGGCAGGAGGCAGGCCGGCCAGGTCAGGGCGCAGCGGGACGGGCCGGGCGGGCAGCAGGGCTCCGTAACTTAACAAAACAAAGCGTTATTTTTTGCATATGTGGCGTTACGTTACCAGAACGAAACGTGGAACTAAACTTCTGAAAAACGTTCCGAAGTGTGGTAACAACTTAAAAAAGTACGCGGAGTAACGTTACGATATTCGTACCGTAACCAGAAAATTACCATGTTTCGTTACACGATCACTTTCGTTCGTTACTTTGTACCGTTACAATTGAGCCATAATCAAAAGAAACGTAACTGCAATAAGTTACACAGATAACGTTATGTTAATTTGAACCGAAATGCAGTAACGCTGTTCCGGGTATAAATAGTAACGATACAAATGTAACTGGAAAGGAACAGGTAACGGTTACAATAGTGTAACGTTAATACAAATACACACTGCGAAATCGTTATGCCAAGAACAAATAGTCCCAAGTCACAAACAGCGCACGGCCTGGCCAGAGCGCCTACAGGTTAGGCAAATGCCACACGCCTGTGGCGAAACGATAGCCTAACTAAGGAGTCTCAAACTGAAGGGTGGAGATCCAGCAGGCAGAGTCCGGGTGGCGAAACCGTGCGTTTTCCCCTCTTGCTAGTGGAAAAGTAGGGCATTTTGCTTACCCCTGAGGGCCTGAAGGGCCGACTAGCGGAGAGAGAGGGGGGGGGGGTGAGTGAGGGAATTACTCGAAGCTTCGAATTTCGCAGTCGCCAAAGATCGGACGAGACGAGCACGGCGGCGCCACGGCAGGGGAGCTCAGAGTCAGAGTAGCCCTACATCAAGGTGGCGCGCTTCCCCAAGCTGCTCTGAATGGGTGGCCGATTCAGGTGAGGAGAGGGGGGGGGGGTAGCTAGAGCATGACTTCGGGTTTCTTAACCCAATCGCATGAGGTTAGCAACAGCCCAGCTTTATGATGCCGCTATACTTGCTGAAATTGATTCAATTCCCGCTTCAGACCTTCGATGCCGCTGCCGCCACACGGACGGAGGACGCGTGCAGTGCCAGGGTCGGAGGCTTTACCACGTCAGGTACCTGGTGGCGGCCTCAGCTGAGGCCTGTGGCCTCAGATTGTGATAAGGTGTCGACGTACAATCATAATCATGCTATCCCCCTCTCCCGCGCCACCGCTCACCAGTTCCATCCCTGTCGCTCCCCCCCTCCCTCCTCCTTTTCACGTGTCCGAGCGGAGCCGAACGAATTTGGGGGCGCACTACGGACGCGCAAGGATAGCAGAAGAGACAGACAGGATGACTCATGACTCGATACTTTTTCTTACGATTGGTCCTGTTATCTAACTTTGCAACCCCGGCCCAGACCTAGAGAAGAAACTGGTGTTGCACAAACTATGTACAAAGGGTAAGTTGTTTTAAAATAATTCATGAATGTTGTCAGTGTGCAGTGGTACCTTTAGATATCCTTCATTGGGTTTAGCTTTTGGTTATATAATGCCAAAAATGGGATTTAATTTTTTTTAATACTTGTGTTTTATTGCTAGTCAACCAAATTATTCTGTTTTATGGTAATGTTATGTCATTCTTTAAATTGTTCAAAATTGACGGGTGAAAGGAAAATGGAAAGCAAATACATGTATCATATTTAGAAAATGTTTATAAAAGCCTAGCCAAGATACACATTTCTCAAATATTCAATAGAAACAAAACAGTAAATATATTTATACAGAGTATAAGTACAACACTGCAATAGTCAAAGTAAATAAATACCTCTATAAAAATAAAAAAAGTAATACATTTTTTTTACAGATCTTTACTACGCATATTAACTGCTGCTGCTGCTGCTTGCATTTGGTTGCGCCTCCTCATCACTAATGTCATCTCCATCTTCCAGATTATTTATCATCACCAAAATATCTTCCTTTACCAGGTGAGAGTTATTTAAAATTAGTACAAGATCTTCGATCATGGTATCTTCCAACCCATTTCGAAGACTGTGCATTATAAATTTTAGAGAAGAAAATAGCCTTTCTACGCTCACTTGTGTGGCTGGAATAGAATGGAGGATGAGGGCTATTTCATAGAGTGCAGGCCAAACATGTTTATGTTCTTCCCACCATTCCAAGACTGGTTTCTTCCTGTCCTTCACCCTGGGTGTTTCTCTATAAAATTTGTCAAGTTCTCTGCAAACCTCAGTCACAGAGAATGTTGCACTCTCTGTGCGGCTCTGATCCCGGCGCTGCAGCATGACAGAAATTTCGTCTTCTTCTGATAACTCTCCTTCATCTTCTCTCTCATTATCGTCATCACTAATTGCATTGTTCTGATTTGTTTTCTTCTTCTCTTGCAGCCTGCTGTATAATTTGTTGATAAAGGCTTTGCCATCAGCAACTTCGCTGGCTTCTAGGGCAGTGAAATAGCGGGGATCCAAGAGCAGTGTAGCAGAAAACCCCGGATATTCAAATAGTGCCGGACATTTTTCTTGCCCAGCCAAGGCATTGCTCCTGGCATAAACCTCTCTTCTTTCCCTTTTTTCCATGCTCTCATAAATTTTTTTGGCTAAGTCATTATCAAATTTTGATAATGCCTGTTTGCACTCTAGCCAAGCACCATACATATCACCAAGTGATAGCTGCTCTGCCTGTAACTTCTTTGTGGCAATGAACGGTGGCTCAAGAGACTCAATTATTTCTTCAATGTTTCTCCAGTCTTCTTCATCCAAGGCGTCTCCTGCCTCTAGGAAAGTCTTCAACCGGACAATTGACTGCAGCAT